GGTAAACTGTGTTGTCCATATATGTACACACACAGAAACACACAGAGGCACGCAGAGTCTTTGAGTATTCTGAAGCACTGCTACTCTTGCTCAGTCAAAATCCAAAACAACTCCTCTGCCTCTGTTGACCAGCACAAAATGCATTGCAGCATAGGCCGATTCCCAGAAAAATGACCAAATAGATCACCATACACGACAGTCTCCTCAACCAACTTTCTGCAACTTAGCTCATCCTTTTTTCTTAAAGGCAAAGAAATATCACGTGCCTCCTTGGGGTTGCCAAACAGCATTTTCTAAGTGATCTGAATTAAAAAGACTTTGCGGCAGGGGATCTTGCATAAGAGGCTGCATTGCAATAAAGCTTTATGAGTGCCAACACCCTGACACAAATTATAAAGAGAAGGGAACAATAGCTAAATCCACAGGAAAAACACAGACTCAGACCCCTCTGAAATGAGCCAGCAAAAATAATTATGGCTCTTTTAGAAACACGTGATACGAGACCAAGAAATAGCGTGTGAGAATTTCAGCCAAGAGAGAGTTTAATAAAATAAATGACCGCAAAAGTCATCTGGCAAAAGACCCAAAGCAGCTGAAGTTACCTGTCCTCGGGTAACACACCATGGTGCTACGTCTGTGAAATTCACTGAGTTTTGTACAAAATCTTCAGCACTTGAGATGGCACCACTCATACAAATGCATCGTGCCACGGGAAAGGGGGAAACCCAGGCTGAACCTGCCTGCCTGACAAGGGATAAAGTAACCCCTGCACTGGCAACCTTGAAAACGTTTTATTGCAACAAATTGTTCTGTGAATAGGCAAGCACTAGCTCTGTCACCCCAGCCAACTAATGGGCCAACAGGGAGGTTTACACTGGCTCGGCCTAACATTTTGGCATTTAAAAGAACAAATGTCAGCTTCAAAAGTTTGAAGAGTGCGAAGAATCTGAGCTGGCCTCATTCCACATATATTTTCCCAGCAGTTGGTGATGTATGGCATCATGTATGGCATCCTCACAACAAAACCTGCATTAAGACCAGTGACGAGAAAAAACAACGGCGAGTTATGGTCATTGGCAATTCCCTCCAGTGCAGAATGGAAGCACCCGTTTGCAAACAGGACCCTCTTTTCAGGGAAGTTTGCTGCCTCCCTGAGGCCCAAATTAGGGACATCACCACAAGACTGAAGAGCTTAGTACAACCTTCAGACTACTATCCATTCCCAAGCAGTCATGCCAAGGTCAGAGACACCAACCCCTTGCAACAAAACCTGCATTAAGACCAACATCAAGAACAAAAAATGGTGAGATATGGTCACTGGCGATTCCCTCCTGTGCAGAGCAGAAGCACCTGTTTGCAGACTGGACCCTCTTTTCAGGGAAGTTTGCTGCTTTCCTGGGGCCTGAATTAGGGATGTCACCACAAGACTGAAGAGCCTAGTACAACCTTCAGACTACTATCTGTTCCTGCTCCTTCACGTGGGTACTAATGCTGTTGCAACAAAAAGTCTGAGGTCAATCAAAAGAGATTTCAGAATGCTAAAAAAATCAGCAGCACAGGTAGTGTTTTCCTCAGTCCTCCCAGGAATGGGGGGAGACTTTGGAAGAAACAGGTGAGCCCAGGATATCAATACCCAGCTCCAGGATTGGTGCCTCCGCTAAAACTTTGGGCTTTTAAACCATGGAAGAGCCTTCAAAACACAAGGTATGCTGGGACCTGATGGGATCCACCTGTCCCAATGGGGAAAACACGTCTTTGGGTGTAAGCTGGCGGGACTGATCGAGAGAGCTTTAAACTAGAATTGATGGGGGAAGGGGATACCAACATGATTGCAGTAGGTAAGCCAGAGTTGGCATTGGCATCACCTGAGGGTGGCAATGCTAGTGGGAACACTTACACTGCTTCTGGGAGCACGGAGGGCTCAGGGGCGTATCTGAAATGCTTGTACACCAACACACGCAGTATGAGAAACAAACAGGATGAACTGGAAGCATTGGTTAGTTCCCAGAACTATGATATCATTGGTATTAGTGAGACTTGGTGGAATGAGTCCCACAACTGGA